TTTATTTTTTGTATTTTTGTATTTTGTATTTTTTGTATTTTGTGTATATTATTTGTTTTTAATATGCTGTGAACCGCCCTGAGTCCTATGGGAGAAGGGCGGTATACAAATTAAAATAATAATAAATAATAATAATAATAATAATAATAATAATAATAATAATAATAATAATAATAATAATAATAATAATAATATTTATCAGTGACTGAAAACCAACAGCTGACAGAGACAATTCAAGATTGCTTTTACCGGTGGCTGACCATTCAACCCTGGATAACCTTTTTCATTTCTAGGCACCTCACCTTCTCGACTAGGGACCAGCCTGAAGCTCTAGAGAAACCCCAAAAGCTTACTTGACCCCCATCAACCTTCTATAATTTATCAACCATGTATTGAACACCCCCCCGACTTTTATTGACCCCCTTTTGATCTTCAGACATTTATCAATTCCTTGGACATTCTCGTTGACTCTTGGGGATCAATACTGACTACTTTGGGGAACCCTGGCCTAGACCTATACTTGTTGTGAAAAAAATTAACCTGCATGGCCAGGGAGATTTGTGTTTCACAAAATATAGCATTGTAGCCTGATTAACACAATTAACTTGACAAAGCAGCAGGAAAGTATGGGTGATATTCGTGGCAGGATTTCACCCAGTATCTGCCACCAAGATTTGAAAGTCTGCAATCTCCAGGCTGCAATAGCCAGCAAAGCTCTTTACAAAGACCACCATCCGCGGAAAAGGCAAGAAAAAAAGAAAGTATACAATACTAGACAGATAGGAGAACTCATTCTGGCAGTGGGAAAGGGATGTTAGTAGGAAGAAGGAGCATGATCAAGTGCTATGCTGGAAGAGAGCAGAGCTCACAGGACTGAGGAAGCACCATCGCTAAGCCTGCAGAGAGCAGCATGCGGCCAAGCCTACTATTACTGCCCTTACCATCTGTGTACACTTTGCCATGTTTATCCAGCGCTGTGAGATTGATATTTCTTACCCTCCCACTGTTGCTCCAAACCTGCTGGGACACAGAAATCAGTACAGGGCAAAATCTGCCACCACACACTGAGGCCAAAGAATCAACAGGCTCATCAGAATTCTTCCTCCTTGTTCTACTGGTATCACCGAAAATGTTGTGAATGATGAGGGACTCCAATGAAATGAAGGATGACTGTGAATTAACACTGAACTACTTGGAATTCATTTCCCTATTAAGATCTGTAACTCTAGGTAGAACAATTACCATTCATAGTGGGACAAGCATGATTTATATGCCCAGTACATTACTCCAAAGGACCAGTTTCCATACACATTTGACCCTAGCTATGCAAACCTTATACACATTTCTTAGATCAAAGCCCAGCAACTACAGTATAGGGTTCATTAAGCAAATATTTTATTTGTCCTGATTGAATTTCCTGAGTCTGTATCTGACTTTTATGTTATAGCCAAGGCTGCTATATCTATATCAGTCAGTTTCAGCATGCAACATTTTCAGTGCTGTCCTTGCTCTTTGCAGGTAAGAAGAAAGAGCTGTGAATAGCATATACTTTACCTCCAGCACCTCCTGCTTCTGCCCCATTTCCAAATAATGGGTGAGAATAGCTTTATACTTCCCAGTGGGAGACATTCCAGTCAGCAGCCTACATTACAAGAGAAAAGAGGGTGCCACATAAACAGGAGAGCCAAGAAAAGCAATTGGAAGCAATTTCCAAGAAAAGCATACAGGTAAGTCTATTCCTTTCTATCTACTTTAGAGATCCACAGGGAAGAAAATTCATGGCTGATGCCTATGCAATCCTATAACCCCTACCACCTCTGGCCAAAGAATTTCAGGTAGCTGAAAGCCCTTTGCTGTGAACCTGAATGAAGTGTAATCAATAGAAATTGGACCGGTGCAACATGAAACTAAGTGTGCATGCAGTNTAATTGTTAAAATGTATAAACTTTTATTGAAATTTGAAATGAATGTATGATAAAATGAGCTAAGAACTCTGGAAACAATATACATGCAGTGAGAAGGTATGTGGTTAAATTATCTAAAATTTTCATTTTGTTATAATCTAAAAGAGATTATTTTATAAAATGATGTACCATTGACATATTGGAAAATTGTCTAAATTATGTAAAGGTACTTCAAGTTTATGTTAGAAATGTGGACAACATGAAGGATCATTTTGTTATGCCTGGTAGATTTGTAAAAAAAGACAAGACATTTTTGTGTTCAAATATATATGATTATACAAAATAATTTAAAAGTCAACATTCAGTTGAAATCAGAACTTCTCTTTTCTTGCTTGAAATAATGGACAGCCAATTGGAAAAGAGCCATGGAAGTTTTTTTAAAATATAATTACTGATACGAGACTAGACTCTGAAATATCCACAACAAAGGAATAATTGGTGAAGATGAACTAGCAGAGGATGAGCAATGTTATATTTATCAGTGACTGAAAACCAACAGCTGACAGAGACAATTCAAGATTGCTTTTACCGGTGGCTGACCATTCAACCCTGGATAACCTTTTTCGTTTCTAGGCACCTCACCTTCTTGACTAGGGACCGGCCTGAAGCTCTAGAGAAACCCCAAAAGCTTACTTGACCCCCATCAACCTTCTATAATTTATCAACCATGTATTGAAACCCCCCCCCGACTTTTATTGACCCCCTTTTGATCTTCAGACATTTATCAATTCCTTGGACAGTCTTGTTGACTCTTGGGGATCAATACTGACTACTTTGGGGAACCCTGGCCTAGACCTATACTTGTTGTGAAAAAAATTAACCTGCATGGCCAGGGAGATTTGTGTTTCACAAAATATAGCATTGTAGCCTGATTAACACAATTAACTTGACAAAGCAGCAGGAAAGTATAGGTGACATTCGTGGCAGGATTTCACCCAGTATCTGCCACCAAGATTTGAAAGTCTGCAATCTCCAGGCTGCAATAGCCAGCAAAGCTCTTTACAAAGACCACCATCCGCGGAAAAGGCGAGAAAAAAGAAAGTATACAATACTAGACAGCTAGGAGAACTCATTCTGGCACTGGGAAAGGGATGTTAGTAGGAAGAAGGAGCATGATCAAGTGCTATGCTGGTAGAGAGCAGAGCTCACAGGACTGAGGAAGCACCATCGCTAAGCCTGCAGAGAGCAGCATGCGGCCAAGCCTACTATTACTGCCCTTACCATCTGTGTACACTTTGCCATGTTTATCCAGCGCTGTGAGATTGATATTTCTTACCCTCCCACTGTTGCTCCAAACCTGCTGGGACACAGAAATCAGTACAGGGCAAAATCTGCCACCACACACTGAGGCCAAAGAATCAACAGGCTCATCAGAATTCTTCCTCCTGGTTCTACTGGTATCACCAAAAAAGTTGTGAATGATGAGGGGCTCCAAGGAAATGAAGGATGACTGTGAATTAATACTGAACTACTTGGAATTCATTTCCCTATTAAGATCTGTAATTCTAGGTAGAACAATTACCATTCATAGTGGGACAAGCATGATTTATATGCCCAGTACATTACTGCAAAGGACCAGTTTCCATACATATTTGACCCTAGCTATGCAAACCTTATACACATTTCTTAGATCAAAGCCCAGCAACTACAGTATAGGGCAGTGGTGGTGAACCTATGGCACGGGTGCCAGAGGCGGCACTCAGAGCCCTCTCTGTGGGCACGCACATCGTCGCCCCAGTCCTAGGCCTTCAGCTGGGTTTTATAAAACCTTTTCGCTTTAGGCCTCCGCCGCCGTGTGCAAAAAAAAAAGGTTCAATCAATCAATTTCAACTTCTCGCGGGGGGGGGGAAGTTCTTGTAAAGTTGGAACTGATTGATTGAATTTTTTAGTCCCACCCAGTCTGCCGTTACCACTGCAGCCACGCCCACCCAATGGGCCAACACCCACTCCATGGGCCACAGCCACCCAATGGGCCACACCCACCCGGCACTCGACGATGCATAAGTGGGTTTTGGGTTGCAGTTTGGGCACTCAGTCTCTAAAAGGTTCGCCATCACTGGTATAGGGTTCATTAAGCAAATATTTTATTTGTCCTTATTGAATCTCCTGAGTCTGTATCTGACTTTTATGTTATAGCCAAGGCTGCTATATCTATATCAGTCAGTTTCAGCATGCAACATTTTCAGTGCTGTCCTTGTTCTTTGCAGGTAAGAAGAAAGAGCCGTGAATAGCATATACTTTACCTCCAGCACCTCCTGCTTCTGCCCCATTTCCAAATAATGGGTGAGAATAGCTTTATACTTTCCAGTGGGAGACATTCCAGTCAGCAGCCTACATTACAAGAGAAAAGAGGGTGCCACATAAACAGGAGAGCCAACTTGGAAGCAATTTCCAAGAAAAGCATATAGGTAAGTCTATTCCTTTCTATCTACTTTAGAGATCCACAGGGAAGAAAATTCATGGCTGATGCCTATGCAATCCTATAACCCCTACCACCTCTGGCCAAAGAATTTCAGGTAGCTGAAAGCCCTTTGCTGTGAACCTGAATGAAGTGTAATCAATAGAAATTGGACCGGTGCAACATGAAACTAAGTGTGCATGCAGTTAATGGCAGGGAGAAATAAGTCTTTGGAACTCTTATCACCCATCTTCATGGTTAAGAAAAGCTAATTATCCTTACTTTAATAACTTTTCTACTGTATCTGATTAAGCATAAACTAAGTGGTGGCCAAGGTATTTCAGGGTCTACCTTGCTTCCACCGTTTGTATCTATCCTATGAAGTCAGATAGGGGTAAAATGCTCTGGGTATTTTTTAGTCTTTATCAGCTAACCAGAGTTGCATTTGTGAGATGGGCGACCATGTAAATTGATTTAAATAAAATAATAAAATAAAATAAGCTGAACAGGAACTTCCAAAGGAGAAAGACATGAGGAAACATGTTTTACATACAGATTGTGAATCTCAGCTGGCATACCAACAGGAGTAACAGAAATAATTGCTCTGCTATCATGGTGAAGGATATATTGACGACTGAATCGCAGTTTCTGATGGCGCTCCAGATCTAGGTGGCGCCACTCTGCAGAAAAGAAGGATGTTGAGTCAGAAAGCTGACGCTTGCCCCGGTTTTTGGTATATAATATTGTTGTCTTTGAAGTGACTAATATTTTATACTTTAAAATTTTTTGAGTTCAAATATATTTTTAAAAAGTAATGTGATAGCCCACTTAGAAATATAGCATAGTTATGACTGATGATGTGCCATCAAATCAATGTTGACTCAGTGAACATATCAATAGATTTTATCCAGAAAATACCATCTCCAACGGGTCTTCCAATGGTGTATCCATTACCAATACAATTTGGCCTTTATTAGATACCTTTTCTCTTTTGATATCTCTGATAACTCAAATGAAAGTGAGAACTGAGTCAGGCTAGTCTGATATTGTATTGTTCTTATATGAGCTGCTGGGTCAATTGGTCTTGTTGTCTTGGTTGTGGTAGAAGTTCAGACAAGGTATACTGTTCCATATTTAACAAGCTTTGATCTAAACTCTAAAACTTAACTTCTCTAAAGCCAGGAGCATTTAGTCTTAAAAACCTACTTGAGGAAATGAACAGTAAAGTGATTAGATGCCCTCTAGTCATTTTTGACTCCTAGTGACTACACAGATAGATCTTTTCCATGATTTATCCCTAATCTGGTCAATCAAGTCTCCCACAATGCACTCATTGCCACTATAACTGAGTCCATCTACTGCTTGTTGTCCTCTTCTTCTCTTTCCTTCCATCTTTCCAGAAAGCTGGGTCTTTGCATATGTGTCCTAAATAGAATAATTTGAGCATGATCATTTGTGCCTCCAATAAGAACTCTGGGTTGATTTGTTTGATGATCCATTGGTTTGTTTTCTTGTTTTCTTGGCCGTCCGTGGTATTCTTCTGCAACACCAAAGTTCAAAGGGATCAATATTCTTCCTAACCTGCTTCTTTAAAGTCCAACTTTTACTTCCATAGATGTCACAGGCTGCACAATTCTGATCTTTGTTATGTATAGACACATTGTGGAATTTGATAATTATTTTCCAAGACCTTCATGGCTGCTGTATCAAGTGCTAGAATACAGCCTATTTTTGACTGATTGTTCCTTTACTATTGATGGTTGATTTTAAAAGGCAGAAGCTCTCTACCACCACTTTGATACTTTCATTGTCAATTGTAGGACTGGTTATTCCACTCGTTGTCATTAGTTTGGTCTTCTTTATATTTAATTTTAGTGCCATTATTTCATTATGCTCTTTGACTTTTAATATTAGACTTGCAGATCTTTGCATTTTCAGCTGTTAGGGTTATCACTAAAGTGGATGTAACAAAACAAAATTAACACTGGAGATAAGCCTACATTTTATTTTCCTACTCAACTCACAATCACAATCTCCCCTCCTCAAGATTCCGTCATCCTCAGTCACAACTACAGAAGGTACAGGCTAGGCTGCACAAAGTTTCTCCAACTAGTAGACTATTCATTAGTTTGGCCTTGTGCCAGCCCATTTTCCCATCCATTTGCAAAATGCAAAAAGTACTTCAAACGTTACCTCGTTCGTAGTTCAAGAACCTGAAAGCTACCCCTCTCCCTTCCTAACATAAACTACAGGTAGTCCTCTACTTACAGTCACAACTGAGCCCAAGATTTCTGTTGCTAAGTGAGACATTTGTTATGTGAGTTTTGCCCCAATTTACGACCTTTCTTGCCGCCATTGGTAAGTGAATCACTGTGATTGTTAAATTAGTAATACGGTTGTTAAATGAATCTGGCTTCCCCATTGACTTTGCTTGCCAGAAGGTCGCAAAAGGTGATCACATGACCCCCGGGACACTGCAACCATCATTAATATGAATCAGTTGCCAAATCTCTGAATTTTGATCATGTGATCATGGGGATGCTGCAACGGCCGTTAAGCGTGAAAATTGGTCATAAATCACTTTTTTCCAGAGCTGTTGTAACCGAACGGTCACTAAATGAACTGTTGTAAGTCGAGGACTACCTGTACTCTGAGGGCCAGGACCGGCGGAGTAAGAAACAGGGGTTTTGGAGAACTGGCTCACCCGTGTAGAGGGGCAGGCACTTGGCGCCACAACGGGCAGCAACCTCGGATCCGACGCTGGCATAAGTGACCGAGGGAAAGCGGCTGACTTCCTGGTACACGGCCCCGATTCGGCCAGACAGCTGGGGGAGAGAGAAAGAGCAACCGAGTGGCCAAGGCAGCAACGACGCGCCAGGAGTTTTGGGGCGCCTCCTTAGGAGCTGCTCCCCCGTTTCTTCTTCACCGTCCGGGGCCACTTCTGCCTCCCTCCCTTCCTTTACGCTCCCCTCCTCAAAGTCGCCCTACCGCTTCTCTCGCGCCTTCCGAGCTGCACGCCATGCGCCCGCTCTCTCTTCTCCCGCCACCCGAAAACTTGTCAAGCTCTTGGCAGAGCAAAAGCCGTCGATCCCGCCGCGTCCGCTCAGCCTCGGAAAGGCCAAGGCTGCAGTACCACAGCGGGCACGAGATAAGGGAGAGCTGCAGTGATTGGCTCCGCCAGATGGCAAAGGCGGGACCAGCACCATCTCGCCCGTCTTCCTTACTGCCCGGGGGCAGAGGGCGGCTTTGGCCCCTGGCGCTCGCGGCACCTGGGATGCAGGCAGCGCGTTGCTTTCCCCTCCGCCCTTTCTTCTCCTGCAGCCGTCCAACCTAAACGTCCAGTCGCGGATATTTTGCTTCCCGGGCTCATTCACACAATCCGCCCATCACTTGTCAAAAGAGCAAAACATGGGAACAGAGAGGAGGACGGGCGAAGGGAAGGCGGAGAGGAAAAGTAGAGGTGTTTTCGGCTCGTGGGTATACAGTAGCGTGAAACCAGCAGCGTGGCTAGCATATGTTCCAGTGTCATGCGAACCTAAAAAGCTGTAGTGGAATGGACTACAAGAGGATGGGACAGTTTGCAAGCGTGCAATGTAGTTTTTGCCAGAATAGAAAAAAAATAAAGTAGGCATCCTAAGAACAAAAAACAAAACAAAACAAAAAACCCTTAGAAGTAAGGCCACCATAATTGTTGAAAAACCAGCATTTATTCTACTTGGCAAATTAATCTTAAATTTTTTTGCTTTTCCTCTTTGAACTGATTTTCATGCCAGGTGCTTATAGATGTACACTATCCATTTCAGTTCACCAGTTATAAGAATAGAGTATTATCACAGTACCAGAATAAGCTTTTTTTCCTTTGTCTTTTTCACCCAATTACCCCTTTCAACTTGTGTCTTCCCAGGCAAAGATTCTCTGATTTGATTCATTTGTAAAGCACTCTAGAACGTGTTCGGGCAGAAGAGAAGGAAATATTCAACACTGAGGCTAGAGGCTAAATTCAGTTGTGGAGAATATAATCTGTTTATATTATCCTATGTGTTTGAATATTACGGTAGTAGCTCCGGTTGGTAGTTGGGCTGTTGGTTTCATCTCTGAGTGTGGCAATTTGGCTGCAAATGTTAGTCTCCATTCAGGGCAGACATCTTCAAAGCGCACTGAAGATGTCTCCCCCCCCCCCCAATGGAGACAAAACGTTTGCAGCCAAATCGCCAAGGTCAGAGATCAAACCAACAGCCCATATTCTCCTATTATAAAGAATATAAACTGCACATCCCCAATTTATGTTAATTATTTGATCAGAGGAAACCTTGTGTATCACGTATGTTTGAATACAGGTAGTCTTTGACTTACATCCAGATGCTTAGAGACTGAAGTTACAATGGCATCCCCCCCAAAAAAACACTAATGATCTAATTCTGAAGTTCACAGTCACATGACCATGTTAGCAACCAGCCTGCAATTTTGGCTATTTGCTGCGCCCTGTGGTCACATGACTGCATTTTAGGATGTTTTTGCTGAAAATCGGCATTTTTGTTTTCAGCAAAATGGCCTTTAGTGAACAATAGGTTTGCGTTATGACTGTGTTCACTTAATGGCCATTGCAAAAAAATGTCATAAAACCAGGTATAGTCAGGTGGTGAACTCCTTTACTACTGTCACAACTTACTGGGTAGGCAACTTACCACTCCTTCAGTTGTAAATTGAGAACTACCTTGGGCAAGCTCCAATATGGTTGTAGACTGAGGACAACCTTGCATTGTATGTGCTACTGGTATATATGTATGACACACACAAGTTCACCCAGCTAAATTGCCCATGCTAACACCATGTGCATCTCCTTCAACACATTTGCTTTTGCCAGAAAAGTAAACAAGGGTCAGGAAATATCCAGTTCTGGAAGCAAGTGGCAAAGATCAAATAGTTATTTCAATAAAAATCTCAACAAAAATTTCATTTATGGCACATTCGTATAACCCATGGCCTGCAATACATTACTCAGTGCAGCATCACTACAAACCAAAAATAAAGCAGTGCAGTATGAAACAACACAATACAGATTGAAGTCCTTGTTCAAATCACTGGTCTTCAGTAAATCAGAAACTATCCTATGAAGGAGTATATTTTAATTTAACCATTCCTTTCAGATGGAAAAAGATGAGATTTTATAAATAGAACAAGTAACAGGTTATTTTCTCATTTAGATTCTTTTAAATAATTCTTTCTCTGTGAACAAAGATGTGTGATGTCCTATTTCGTGTGAGGAAAAAATAGCAGGCATATTCCAGAGCTAATCATACTGTTAAAAAGGCTTATTACTACATGTTTGTGCACAGATTGCAGTGACAGTAATTCTTTGGTCTGGTAGAGAATTATTTTTCTTTCCTAGATAACCCTTAACATGCTGTGACTTATTACTACAGCTATTAAAGTTCACTGTCAAATAGATTTATAGAATCAGATTTGGAAGGAACCAAAGAAGTCACCTAGTCCAATCTGCTGAGTCTTGGATCCACCGTAGTATGTGTGACAGACGAGCTTCCAACTACTGCTTGAAGACCCTAGTAAAGAAGAACTTACCACTGGCTGACAAGTAATACAATCAGGAAGTTCTTCCTAATGTCTAGCCTGAACCTGCTTCACTGTAGTTTTAATCTTTGGTTTTGCTCCTGCTCTCTGGGGAAACAGTGTAAATCAATTTTCTCATCTGTGAAACAATTCTTCAGATATGTGATGACTGCTATCATATCTTCCCTGAGTTGTCTCTCTCTAGACTAAACATGATTTCCAGTTCGTTCACCATCTTGGTAGCCCTCCTCTGAACTTGCTTCCATGTTACTATGCTATTTGAAACCCAGTTCTTCAAAAGGGTTTTGACAAGGGCAGAGTAGAGTAGAACAGTTACTTCCTATGGTCTGGACTGTGTTCCTGTTCACACTCTCTGAGGTAGCATTTGCCTTTTTAGTAGCTGCACCACACCGCTGGCTCTGTTTAACTTGTGCTCAACAAGCACGCCCAGATTCTTGTCACATACACCACAAAATCAGATTTCTCCAATCCAAAGCCATCAAGAAACTTAATTTTGTGAAGCATAACTTCATTCTTTAAATTTCAGGTTAATGATTTTACATCACTTCTCCAAAATACTGCATTCCAGTCATTCCCAATCTAAGTACTTAAACTACATAATTTGGATTTATAGAAATTAATAAGATTCATCTCAAGAATATATTCTGCAGCTTGATTTTTGAAATTCATTCTTTTCAGTTTAGCTCCAATCATTTAAATGGCATTACAGAGATTCTAATACCATCTAATGAGAATATTTATCAGTGCTCCAGTACTTGACAATTCTGCATAGTTACCCTAAGGGTGATATTATTGATAAAATGTTAAATTTGGCAAAATGATATATTTGGCCTTTGTAGCTTCTCTCTCTAGCACAATTGAGAGGCCTAGAGGATGATGCACACATTGTTATGTGCCTGTTCACACTTTGGAGACTAGAGATCAGAGTACCAATCAGCTACTAGAAGGTCTTTCAGACTGAAGAGACTTGACTTTCTGTTAGCTGGCCTCGACCAAAAAGAGGAAGCTTCTGGAATTGTTATTTCAAGTGTCGGAGAAGCCAAAGTGCAATATTCATGAAACCGTCTGCCTCAGCTTCCACACTGGATAGTGCATGGTTATCACTTGGATACTGCAACATCCTAGAAATATGAAGAGACACAGGCATCAGCTAATATTCAATTCCCTCCCTATCATTATTTCACCCCATCTTCTGCCCAGATTATAATTTTCCTCCCCCCCCCCCCAGTTGCATGTATTTCTATTCTCCCTGATCTCGTAACCTCATGGCCTCTTGTAGACCCCCAGTTTTTGCAAGTCTACCCCAAGATGCTTACCGGGTTGGAATACCCCTGGACTTAAGTGCACGATAATATTCCAAGCCTTGCTTGGGGGGAACTCGTCTATCTTCTTCTCCAATCAACAGGAGAACTGGTGCTTGAACCTAAGGGGAAAGAATGTAAGGTGGAAATCAGAGCACTGAAACTTAGAAAGAAATATGAGAATCTGAGAGTAATGGATATACAAAAAGAGAGGGAAAGATGTGTTGTACCTTGTCAACATACTGCATAGGTGAATGAAGCAGCATCTTTTCCCATTGTTCAGGAACTGGGAGAGCAGCTTGGTCATAGGGTAGCCCAACCTCAGTCAAGCACCTAGAAGAAGCCACAGAGTAGTCATCAGTAATGATAGCTTCTGCTAAAAAGGGAGAACACAACTGATCATAATTACTCACCAATCAGGAATATCGGTGCTTCCAATCATGGAGGCCATATTGACTACAGGATTCCTGGTCACACAGGCTTTATATGTACCAGGGTACTGGCCAATGAGATGACAAGATAAGAAACCTCCATGAGATCCTCCAAGCAAAGCTACTCTCTTTGAATCCAGAGGTTCTTTCTGTAACATCTGCTCTACACAGAACTACAAGGAGAAGATTTACAATTACTAAAGGAGCAAGGACTATGGCATCTTAAACAGACATTTGGACAAAGCAATCCACTCCAAATGTTTAGCTGAGTTCTGATAGGAATATGATAGATTATCTCAATGTGTACCTTGAAAAGTACAACTTACATTTGGATAGCCCCTTGTGTTAATGTTTCCTGTTCTTGTATATATAAGAACAAATACATTACACATATCTCTAGAGGAGGTACAGTCTTGCAAGAATTTCACAGTTATCTACTGAGAGTTTTATATGGCAAGGGAATATAAACAGCCATTCTCCTTGGTGACAATTGAATCTCCTTCTTGCTACAGTAAATATTTACACTTCTCCATGTAGTGAAGGTTTCAAACACTCTTGTTGGAAATGGAGGAAGGGACTTCCTTACCTGCACATCTTTGACATCCTGGCAACCCACATTTCCTGGTAGTGAATCCACACTATCCTGGCCAAAGCCCAAAGATCCTCGATAATTCACTTAAAGGGAGGAAAAGCATAATATTAAGGTAGCCAACCTTTCTCTGTTTTCAAACTTATTTGCCTCAGCAAGATTTCATTGCGTAGAACAATGCCTCCCATAATTTTAGAAGCTTTGGATTTTACTATTGGAATCAACCTTGACATACTCCCAGTATCAAAAGACTCCAGCTTCTTGTGAATATGATTGTGTGGCTGAGACTGCTAGGAGATTATGCCCATGGACATCTGGAAGCACAAGGTTGGGGAATAATAAAATAATGTCCACGTCAAGAGTTCTGAACTGACTATCATAGCACTATAATCTATCGCTGCTTGCTTAAAGGAGGATCTGATGGCTGCCCAGGGCATGTACCTCTGACTACAGTCCTTATGCCTGATGACCCAGTGGACATCTTGGTGTCTGAAAGAGATTATTACTCACCCAATAACACAGCAAATCCCATTCGGCAGAGCACTGCTGGATACAGCATCCAGGTGGTGGTGAACACTGAATGCGGGCCTCCTTTCAAGAAAAAGAATGGAGTCAAGCTCAGATGAATGATGAGGGAATGACATTACAGTACCAGGATAAGGGAAGGGAAGAAAACAAGCAACTTACCATGTGGTGACACCACTAATGGAAGTTTGGTTTGCTCTGGTACCTGAGTGGGCTTGAGTAGTATGGCTTCAAAATCCAGACCTCCTGGGAATACAGGTAATAATTTGCAGGTTAAGGAAAATCACTATCGGCCTCTCAATTTTTTCTGTAGAAAAGCAACTCAGATTGAAGCATAGAAATAACAGATGGTTACATTGGTCCAAATTTCCCCTCAGGATACTCACTGTATTGGGGATTGTCTTGATCTGGAGAAGGTTGAAGAATATGGACATCCCAACTAATACCTTGAATTGGGCTGGTTTCTTCCAGACATACCCAGTTCACATCCGCTTCCTTGCCTGCAGGAGGCAGAAAAGCTACCATCTGCAGAAATATAAATTATTAAGAGATATCCAGCATCAGATCCTATGTTATTTGATCAATAACATTTGGATATGCAGAATTTAAATTGATGTTGGGTAGAAAGTACAAACATTTTTTTATCCATGACATTTAAGCTGAAGGATTTCCAACACAGGTTCCTTTGTTAAATGTCTAACCACACAGAACTTACAAGAATAGGAGGAGAGTTAGGCGTGGAGAATCTGGCCACCATCAGATCTCTGTCAATGGTGAGCAGCACCCAGCTTCCAAGAGAAGAACCTAGTTTAGGAAAGGTAAAAAATAATATCAATGCTCCTGTCGGGATAACCTCCTTATTCAAGCAGAAGTATGCCTAATTTGCCAGTTTGGTTCTAAGCTAATATATTAGCATTTTTTCCCATGAGATGTTTCAGCTAGGTAACAGCGTCCAGTTACTGAGATAAGGAAAATTTTAAACTTACCTTTGGTGAGTGAACATACACTTTTTGATGCCATATCCACCACAATCAGCTCCTAGGGAAAAAGCAGCATATGAAGGATCTACTGTGCACATATATTTATATATTTCTCACACCACAATTTATAACAAATTAAACATCTGAGAATAGTATAGAAGAGAAAGGAAAATAAAGAAAAGACAACAAATGCCAGGATGCACATAACCCATAACCAATTCTATAGATGTCATTATAATCCTAGATCAATTTGGAGACTTCCATGTGACTTTAAGTTTAGGTTATTCCTTGATTCAACAGACCTAATACTTAAAGATCATCCGGAAGAACCTTTAGAGGTTAGCCAGCTAGGATAAATTTAGTTTGTGCAAAATACTATTGGCTCAGCCTAACAATCCAGCAATATCCTTACCTGCCTGCTGCGCTGAGTTGTGTCCAGAACAACTCTTTGACTGTCTGCTGCCCAGCAACGCTCAGGCAGTGCTGTGCTATATATTCCAGCAAATCCATCTGCAAGAGAGAACAAATTCATGCAGGCAGCAGCTGTTTTCATGAAGTTAGAAAGGCTCCATTGGGAACTATATTTCACCAGATTCTCTAAATGTTCTGCATTCTACATATTTAGGATAGATATGTGCAGGTGTTCACAAATCCCCTTTTGTTTACCAGATTTCAGATCTGGCATTTTCCAGGGTTTTTTTTTTTGAAAAAACCCACCTTTCTTCCAGATTGGCCTATTTGAATAAGCAATATACTTATTAACGTGAGCGCTAGTAAGGGATTCTTTTCAACTTTTATTTTTAAAGAAAATATGACAGACATATGGGTTGGGCTTTATTTATTTTATAAATATTTCTTTTTTAAGCACTTCCTAGACTGGCAATGTAAACATCTTAACACGATCCTTCCAAGAAGTGCCAGGGAAGGGATGAAACTCCTATAGAAAATACTCAGCAGCACTGTAAGTATATCAGGATTTACAAAGATTGAAAGATTCCTGGAAGGAATCATGGAAGGAACCCTGAAGTCATCCCTTGCATTAAAAAAAATGAATGCCATTTCCCAGCCACTAAATTATTTCTTGTTTTTAGAAGGTAGAATTAAGGATAGATTTTTGTGGCTAATGCTCCTCCCGTCACAGATTCATCTGGAGCAAAAAATCCATAGTTCAGAATGCCATTTGTATCGTTATTACTCACCCTGGATCTGTCGAGGGACAATATCCACTATCACGGAAGTGAGCTTTGTGTACCAATCATACTGAAAAAAAGGTCAAGACATCAAACTGGGATGTGGCAGGAACAACAACCTGGCCTATATTTTACTTCCTGTTCTCAAATTAAGAAATGTCATGGAAAGCCATGTTGCTAACCACTAGGAATCAGAATAGAGTGCGGTAGTGTATGAATGAGAAAATATATACAATAAATAAAGTTATACCGAAATGCTTCATAAATCTATTGACTTATTTCTCCTGCAGCAAAAGATATAATCACTTCCAAGTTTGGAAGACCAAACAAAATTGTTCCATGTAGAAAAACACTTGACCTCATTCTTCTTACTTTCATTACAGACTTCTGCCTCCATTTCTCTCACAAGGTTGTTGAAGAACCAACCCTCCTGATCCATAACAGCCACGCAGAAGTTCCTAGTCTAATCAGATCAAACTAACTCAGGATCATTTAGAACTCTGACCACAATATTCGAGGTTCAAAGTCGTGTATAAATTAAAGACTAAATAAATGACTTGGCTAGATGCAATCAGGTTACCTGAAATTGTTTTGTGCCAATAGTTCAAAATCAGTGCTCACCATGCAGATACGGCTACACTGCTGATGAGGTCCAGAAGCCTGATTCTCCAGATATACAATGCGACATTGGTCTGGGCTCAACCGTGGAGACCAAATGGCTTTGTTATCATCTGACAACAGTTCTGTAATAGGAGGGGAGGTAATGAATTAAGAGAAATCACCACCAGCATGCACTGACTGAGAGATAAGATGGATTCCTGTACTCACCACATTGACCGCCTGTCAGATCGACATGGAAAAGTGATGATCTGGGGGCAGAAGGGAAACAGCTGGTGGTAACGTAGGAAGGGATCATATAAGATTGGTCAGGAAAAGGATAGAGATATCCCTTTCTTTTAAAATTAAGCTACCATTTTATTCAACCCTTAAACAGAAAAAGGAATAGTCTGCCTTGTCCAGCTGACACCCCACCCCACCCCTGCTCATAGCAGAGTGATTATAATCTTAGAAATGGACAATATTAGAATGAAAAAATAATCCTTATGTACTCCGGGATGTTGCTTCATCACACTGGATGGTAGATACCACAAGTCATGAAGACCATAATACCTTTTCTCTTTAAGTGCTATTTTTGGAGACAACCAATACTATACCCCAAATTATCCTGGGGAAAAGGACTTCTAAGTTCTCCTGAGTTTATCTGTTTACTATTGGATTTTGTACACTTCCTGCAATCTAAACAGTCAAGTCCCACTTGGATTCCTCCTCAGTTTCTAAACGAAACTCACCTGCGATTGATGCAGTGTTTCAAGCCTAGACGGAAAGGCTCGTGATACCAGCCAGTGAATACCACTCCTGTGTCACCTGGAGTCCAGAAAGCCTTGAAGCAGAGAGAAGACAATGTTAAGTTTGCAGAGGTGGGCAAAGTTAAGATTTTACTTCAGAAATCATCTTTCAACATAGAAAGACAGGGTAGCTTGAAAAAAACCCCACACCAATATTTGCATTGAGTGAACAGGAAACACAACCCATCCCTTTGTCTGGGAATCTGATGTGGGAGATTTAAGATGCTATTTCCAGAAAAATAATTTCTCTGCCTGCCAAAGGATGAATCTTTCATTGCATTGCAGCTTTTATTTCTTCCATTCAACTGTGTCCTTGGCGACTGCCTGGACAAGTTCCTGCAGTTTTCTTGGCAAGGTTTTTTCACAGTGGTTTGCCATTGCCTCCTTCCTAGGGCTGAGAGAAAGTGACTAGCTCAGGGTCACCCAGCTGGCTTTGTGCCCAAAGCGGTACACCATTTAGAACTCACCATCTCCCGTTTCTAGCATGATGCCTTAACCACCTCACCAAACTGTCTCTCTTCGAGGTAGTTGTAGCATAGCTATTATATTCTTTGCAACAAGATATAGCAAACGTATATACATTCAGCCATAATTAGGCTGCAGGTAATCAACCACCCCACGTTCCAAGTGCTCTGTACTGACCTGCCCAGGTGAGATATGTTCTGGAACTCCTTCTAGCACAGAAACATTATTGCTCTCAATGTCCAATACACACAGTACAGGGATACTCTTAGCTACCAGAGTTTCCCCCCAGTCTTCATAAAATACAAATTGCTCCCCCTGAGAAAGGCAGAAAAACAACATAAAAACAGATTTCCCGAGATACTTGGCATGATAGCAAAAAGGATTTTCACCTGTCTGGCAGATGGCCCTGATTTGCAGTACTGGCTCTAACCTTACATCTGTCAAGATCAAGAATGTTTTAAGGCATACCTTTCTTATAGATGCAATTTTACAGCAGGTCACAGCATCTTAGAGTAAACTGCTGTAGAAGATAGTTGCTACTTCAGATCAAGCCAAGATGCAAGCATCAGATTCCCAAAGCATCACATATTAATGCTATTTTCATGATGGCAAAAAGACTGTGATGTTTTCTGCTGGAGGATGATATCAAGTACTGCACACCCAGCAAAGAGCTCACTTTCAACCAAAAGAACAGGCAACAACATGAACACTTCTTAAGAGACAGGATGCTATCCGGAACTTGAAAATTAGGTTGCTGGCTGATTTAATGACTTAAACACCAAAGCACTCAAACAGACCTATTCAGGTTATCAAGTTGCTCTTTAAAAGTTGGTTCTCGCACTGCTAATAAGTTAAGCAGCAGTTACCAAAAGAATGAACAGATGCAGATGCTCATAAAAATAATAAAAAAAAACCCTGCAGTCATGGAAATGGGAAGTTTCAACCTCCTTTACTCTAGGACTTTAAGAAACTGGAAGAGAGTTTTGTCACTATAAATTGTCTATATATTGGAGGCTCTTTTGAAAGTCAGGGATTTATTGAATGTTGTACAACTTCCCTTTGATGGATGAATTACTAATCAGAGTTCTGAAAACTTGATTTTTGCATTATTTCCTGCCCAGATTGTTAAAAGGGCAGCGTGACAGCTTTTTTAGATCAAGGAAAACAGAAAGGCTGGCTTCCTGGGAAATCATAAAAGAGAATGTCCACCCCACCTTTACTGCTTTGTCTCGTTCAGCCTTGGCCAGATCCTCTTCAGTGTTCAGCTCAGGGGCTCTGGGCTTAAAGAAAGACTCTGTCTTGGGACGCTTCTTTTCTGCCACGTAGAGAAGATGAGTCTCTGAGTGTGACCAGGCCAAACAGCCAAACTGATCTGGGAATAATAATAATAATAATAATAATAATAATAATAATAATAATAATAATAATAATAATAATAATAATAATAAGTTGGTAGGGACCTTGGAGGTCATCGAGTCCAACACCCCGGTAGGCTCAAAGCGTATGCATTTTCTTCCCTAAGGCAGCATCCCATTAGCTTCTATCAGAAAGCAACAGCCTGGCGGGCATAGTTTTAAAATCTTTCTATCACCCAAACATGATTTTGGATTCTCTAAACCATCCCTCAAATATATTAAAAGACTCAAGACTTTCTTTTCCAAGATAGCTGTACCCGGCCATGCGTTGCTGTGGCTCAGTCTGGTTAAATGGAAAAGAAAGAAAAGAGAAAGCGCATGTTTATAATATATTTAATTTCACAATGCTTGTGGCTCAGTTTTTACATCCAACAGATGGCGCTGTTTTTTTAAAAAAAGCATGTTTTTACCTGTCACAGGTGTGACATCTATATAATAGTAGGTATATAAAAACACGCGCGTATTCGAATGCAACGTTGTGTCAAAATTTCAAAGCAATCGGTGAAGAACTTTCGGAGATTTAAGATTTTGAACAAACGAACATTTACATTTTTATTTATATAGATTAGCCAAGATTTTCCTCTTATTTATCATTATCTAGCGCTGATTTCTTGCCTCTTAGGAACTGAAAACAGAAACTGAAACTTATAGAAAGCCTTACCGTCATCATATACTTGGCCATGCTTCTCTAGAGCTGTCAACTCGATGCTCTTCACCTTCCGGTTTTTTTCCCACACCTATGAGAGCAGAGACACTTCAGTTTAAGTCACAGAGCTTCTTCCTCACTGAAGTCACTAATTAAGGCTTCCCTGACAGTGCCCTTAGGATGGGAGAAAACTGCAGAGTTTCCTTTCCTGCAGGGAAAATAAATCAAAGGCCCACAAATCCTAACTGCTGCAATATTGCTTCCACAGACAGAAGCAATTTAATGCGATAAAAGTAGAAAGAATGAAGGACGCCTATTGCTACCCACAAGCTATGAAGCCTTACTGAGCAGGAGTGAAACAGGCAGACATACCTCCAAGAACTGTTTTTCCTCGCCTTTGCTATTGCTCATCTTTCGCAGAACGGCTTTTTGAGTCCCACTTGGAGAATCCCGACTAAGCAGTCTAGATGGAAAATATATATAGATGTATAATATATATTCTATAAATATAGAACCATAAAATCATAGGGCAAAATGGACCTAGGCATCTTTTTGTTTGTATCCTGCCTTTATTATTTTTACAAATAATTCAAGGCAGTGAACATATCCAATAGACTTTTTTCCTTTCCCCCCCATAATAACAAATCTATCATGTGGGTTGGCCTGCGAGTGACTGGCCCAAAGTCACCCAATTGGTTTTCATGGTTAAACTGGGACTTGAACTCACAATCTCCCATTTTCTAGCTTGGTGTCTTAACCACTAGACCAGGGGTAGGCAACCTTAAACTCTTTTATGACTCGGGGACTTCAACTCTCAGAATTCCTGAGCCAGCTGTGCTGGCTCAGGAATTCTGGGAGTTGAAGTCCATGAGTCATAAAAGAGCCAAGGTTGCCTACCCCTGCACTAGACCAAACTGGCTCTTCAAAACTGGCTTTTAAACAATCCCCTGCCCACGGTGGGAATCCTCAAATTAGTCCCAATAAATGCCTGATCAATTTAAGTAATATACTTCAAATGTTCCTTGGGTCAGGAGCAAGGAGAGGCCAATGCAGTCTAGACTTACTCTCCTTTGACTTCAGTGCAATTGCCTGAGGGGCCAGAATAAATAACGGACTGGTTGTCATGGAAAACAAGGTATTGACGGCAGAATTTCACATTTTCAGCTCTTTCCAAGTCCCGCTGCGACCACTCTGTAAGTAAAGATTTTACTATTATATGATTTACATAAAGAGTTCTACTTCTGTTTAGTCCAGCACAATAGAAAAAATCCTCCTCATTGAATGCAAAGAATCACTATCAGGACTGGATTCACACACTGCACCAAGTTATCAAATGGTTTCCTTAGCTTACGTTTGAAGTATTGTGTAACCTTCCCAATGCAGTTGATAAGCCATGTGCTTTGATTAAGGAAATTGTCACTCATTATGCTTTCTTTAATAGAACATACTCTTTTTTAGTGTGGTGGTTTTAAAAAAAGTCCACCATCATTCAATAGGGGAAACACAAAAGAAATTATAGTTGGCAGTAACAACCTACCCTTTTCATCTTTTGTCTGCAATAGAAACTCTTACAGTTACTGTTTTTGAGTTTTAATCTCTTGGGATCATCAGGAAAGAAGAGAGATGTCAATCAAACACAGAGCTAGAAAAAAGTAATGCTTATGCTTAATCTGATTTACTTTGTTTATGGCAGGGGTGTCAAACTGCCAGCCCGTGGGCCAGATGTGTCATGCAGAAGCCGCACCCATCCCAGCTCCAGCAAGGGGAAAAAATTCATGATACATCACGACATGTCACGTGACGTGGCGAGTTTGACACCCCTGTTTTATGGGATTGAGGGCCCAATGTTACATTTGACCCTTGATAACAATATTGCACAATAGATATTTAAATTCTGTGGAGCCAAATATAAACCCAATGATGTGGGTTCAACTTTAAATAGCTTACCTGTATAAATATTGCAATGTTTGCCACCATACTGAGTTGTTACCTCAGGTCCAATGCAAGCATGGGAAAGGGAAGGATACTGGCTCAGATCACGGTACAAAGCAGCTATTTCTTCTGTATCACCCAGCAACTATACATTACAAATATAAAGAAATAAAGGACCATAATTAGTTGGGATGGACTCAAGAGAAGGGCATCACCAGCATGTCAACAGTTAAGGAGCAAGCAATAAACAGTAAAGGAACTATGTCACAGACTAATACTTGTTACAGTAGCCACAAAAGCCTTGGAAAACATAAATGGCATGATGTGTCTATACCTACAAAGACCAGAATCATGGAAGCCATTCCCTGTGACACTCTATGGAAGTGAAAGTTGGACTTTGAAGGAGAATTGGAAGAGTATTGAGGCATTTGAATTTTGGTATTGAAGATGTTTGAGAATAGCATGGACAACCAAGAAAACAAGCCAATGGATCATTGAACAAATCAACCCAGAGTTCTCACTTGAGGCATAAATGACCAAGCTCAAATTATCCTACTTTTTTGGATACATTATGCAAAGATCCAGCTTTCTGGAGAAGGCTCAAATGCTGGGAAAGGTGGAAGGGAAGAAGATGGCAGAAGCAAGATGGATGGACTCAGTTACAGTGACAATGACTGCACCCTTGAGGTCCTGAAATAAAAGATTAGGGATAGATTGCCATGGAGAAAATCTATTGCTAGGAGTCGAAAACGACTTGATGGCATGAAGTCAAGTTATAAAAATTGTTTGAGTGAAAAGCAGGGTCATGAAATGGATGAGCTGGGAGCACTATGGCGGTTTGCACTCAGCAAGCTGGGAAGTATTGGCTCTCGATATAACTTGATTCCATTAGTAGTTCCTGACCTTTATTCCCTTCCAAATCACCATGAAGGACAGAATTATATCACTGCTGTCCTTTGTCTTTATCTTTTTGTACATACTTGTCTTTATCTTTTTGTACATGGTGCATTCAGATGAAAATGCCAAACTGAATCCTGATGTGAGAATGAATAGAGTGAATTGGCCAGACCAAAGCTACTTGCAAACTCAGCCCCACCTCATCTCATTCATTGCCACTCAGCCGGTTCACCAACAGGAACCAATGGACGGAAACTGTTTCTCTGAAATGCACAAATGGTAACAGAAATAGTAACAGGAATACTAAAATACATAAAATTGGTAACAGGGGACCGGTCCTGAATGCCCTTACCGCATGTCCTGCTCTAAGAGGAGCAAGCAATCCCAAAAGAAAAGTGCAAACAATGAATATTTAAAAGTAGGGTTTCATGAGGACTGCGTCAGCACAATCAAGGTAAGTTCAGCTCATGACATCTTTATTCTTCTGAGGATAAAGAGACCCCATTTCATGGCTATGAAAAGAGACTTTTTCAATGGAAAAGGAGATAAATTGGTAACTTTCCCACAGCAAGAAACCTTAAAGGAAAGCGTGTCGCTCTACCTGTGATACGCATAGAGAAGTTTCACCTGTTGAGCTGCCCGCTATGTGATGTTAAGAAGGTACCGGAAGAGGGATCAAGGCAGGCTTTCCCAGAAATAGCATGGAAAGAAAGGCGAAGAGAAATTCCAGACTTCACATTCCCCCCCCCCCATCGCTCTCGCTCCAAGCGGAGGGAAAGAGCTACTCACGCCATCCCCATCACACTACGACCTTTGGAGGAAGTGCCGTGCAATGCGCACAGGGAGCTGCCTACGCACCCGCCGTTCACTGACACGCGTGTCCGGCCCCTGACGATCCCTCACCGGGGGTTCCATGGTCCTCTGATCGTCGCTCCAATTCCCGAGAAGTCGCGGAAGCTCCAATTCGATTCCCCTCGAGAAGGAGGAGCAGCGCCTTTGAGCTACTTTGTTCTTATTGGCTCTGGGCCTGTCCGTCAAACAGAGCCAGCCCGTAGAGGATAGCTGGCAAGCTTTTCTCTACCCGGAGAGGCGGTTGAGCCCCAACAGGGCGGGCGGAAGGGCGGCTGGGCGGGGACGCGCAGGCTTTGGACCCAAGGTATCGTGAGTTCAGGCGTCCTTTGCCCAATCCGCTCAGAAGAAGGGCGGGGCTTACTTTTTTCGAAGCCAGCAAACCTTTAGCCCAGGGGTAGGCAACCTCGGCTCTTTTATGACTCATGGACTTCAACTCCCAGAATTCCTGAGTCAGCAGAGCTGACTCAGGAATTCTGGGAGTTGAAGTCCATGAGTCATAAAAGAGCCGAGGTTGCCTACCCCTGCTTTAGCCTCTTAAACGTCAGCTGCCCATACAGCGTTTGGGAAACGTTAGGGCCGTGAGGATTGGGGAGAGAGCTGGGCGTGGCTTCAGGAGCCGTGCGTCCTTAGAAAAAGGTGCGGTCGTTTCAGTGATTGAAAGAGGGGTGCCACCGTGTGTGTGCCGGGGGGGGGGAATACCCGTTTTCCGAAAGGTGTGCTCATTTAGCTCTGTATGATAGGCGGGAGTGAGATGGTTTCTTCCATATCTGAAGGAACACATCTGCCCCAATCTGTACTGGTCAATGTGATTTTTGGGAAACCCAGAACAAGAGTGCCATAGATTCCCCATCCACCCCAATTTCTTTTCTGTAACATCTAAAATGGAAATAGACATTGGCTCTCGTAGTGAAGCTCAAAATAATGTAAAGAGTTAAGCAATATTAATTAAAGCTGTGCAAGTTGCCTGTCATCATGCACACTGTCTTCCATAAATGAACCTCACACACTGTGAATTCCTACACCTATGTAGAATTTCCCCCCCCTCCAAATTCAGTTTCACACGATGTACTCTGCATTCTAGAACTACTGAATGAAAAAAGAAAGTCCAAACTCACTTTCCCAATACAGGGCTGAGATTTCACATAACATTTGAGTCCTCTTAAAGCAGGGGTTCTCAACCTTGGCAACTTTAAGACTTGTGGACTTCAACTCCCAGAATTCCTCAGCCAGCTTTGAGGAATTCTGGGAATTGAAGTCCACAAGTCTTAAAGTTGCCAAGGTTGAGAACCCCTGTCTTAAAGTGTTAGAGATTGCTTGAATGGTGGGGACCTGAGGGAAACGCCCCCAGCTTTAATAAAGGTCACTGCACTTTGCACTTAAAATCCATTTGCTCAATCAATATCCTGTTTTTCCCGCTTTTAATTTTTTTTAAATTTCCCATCAATGTTCAAAATATCTCTATCGCTTATAATTTTCTCCTAGTAAATTATATTTGGGTAACCAAAAGTTTTCCTTATTCAAATCCTTTTAGAATTTTCATATTTCCCATCTCATAACAAATTATAATATTCTAGTTACAAATACTATCATTCTAATTATAATAATACTTGAATTTCTAACAGTTATCTATTTTCTTAACCATATTCAAATGTCTGTTTAATAGTATAATATCCCATCTAATAGGTCAAAACCTCTATTCAGTTTTACTCTAGCTTTTTTCCTTCGCCAAATAATTTTCTAAGTCAGTGCATTTGAATCATCAAGTAATTCTTCCTCTGTTTTTGTATATATTGTTTGGAACAAGGAAGAAAATTTGATTGAAATGTTTTTGGAAGAATGCTCAACCCATTTATATTCATTAAACAGGCTCCATCTTTCTTCAGTTTTTCTTTTCATTTCTTGTTTATCAATATTCAGCATTTCTCCTAACAGCTTTATCATCTGTTCGATCAGCTCTTCTTCCTTATCTTCAAATGTGTTCTGAGATCTTAACAAGTAAGATATCTTTTGCATTTCCAGTGTTATCACTGCATCTTCTAATGTTTCATTTGTCTGTGTCTGTCTGTTAATTCCTTCCTTTAGTTCCTCCATCTTTGGATCCGTTTCTTCTAATTTTCCTTCTGTTTTCTGTATTACTAGTTCCTTCTTTGTAGTCATTGTCTAGATTTGTAAGTTTAGGTTAGAAAATTGTTCTTTTATCTCATTTGCATTATTTTTAGTCTCATCATAAAATAAAAAAATGTCTCTTGGATTGATTTCAGCATAGAAAGAATTTCTTTCTGAGATTCATTAACATTTTCTTGTTGATATATCAAGCTGGGGGCTTTGGAGACAAGTGTTAAAGATAGTTTTTTACCATTTGAGGCTAAGTATGAAACACCCATTTTGTTTTTGTATGTAGTCTTTATAGTCTAATAGGGTCCCCAACACAGATAAGCAGCCCAAGAGGGTTTTTTGCCTTTTCCCAGCTGCAGTCTGCAAAAGTGAAAGTTTCCAGGAACAACAAAGTGTTATCTAAGTCTGGGCTTCAAGCCAAGTTTCCTTTAAGCATAATAAATTATAGTGCCGTAATTCGCCACTAGATGTCGTTGACATCATCTTCCAGCTTTCTAAATCCAAGCCTATTTTACAGACTTTCAAATATCTTTTCTAAAAAAAAGTCTCAAAGGTACTTTTAGTCCCCAAATTTCTAAGCTAAATATTTGTATTAATTTCAAATTGTAGTTTTCTCTATTTTCCCCCAAAGCAATTAATTCACTGCTTTTCTTTTCCTAAGGGAGCAGGGCAAAAACTTCCCTTCCCTCTCTCATTGGGAAGGATTCTTTGCTTTGGGCATTCTTTTTTCCAGAAGAGTAGTATTAAGGTCATAAAAAGAGGATAAAGTCTCACCCAGTTTCATCCACGTTGCTCAAAAATTACTAGTTAGTGCTTATCTTTGGTTGTCATGAATGTAGCCAGTTTTTCCCCCGCCGGTTTGGGGAGCTTCCTCTGATCCAGTGAAAGAGCCGCCGCCCCTCCACGATTGACGAGGGTCCCCTCCTTCATCGCCTTTCTGGGGTGACTTTCAACCCTTTTTAGGATCCCCAGCAGGGCGAAATGGAACATGGAAGATAGAGTCCCATCTTTCTGCACCCGTTATGCCGCAACGCCTAACCAGAAGTCCTCTAAAAAGTACACAGCTCTAATATTTTGCCTTATTTGCATTTCCCAGCCCTTTGGAGTGACAATTCAAATGTCTTGGAGGTAGTCATCAACTTATAAGGATAATGAATACAGGAAGGCACTCATCTTTAGGTTATTATGAAGCTTAGTTCAGCATCTTATTTAGAGTGTTAGCAATTCTCCTTAATCAAAAGTGGAAAACCATTTGTCAAAGCCTCTTCCAATTTGGTGTCTATTGAGGGTAGATTGTCTATGTACTTGTCCTTTGGCTCATGCTTCAACAATTAGGGGGCTGTGGTTGTAGTTTCTGTGGTAATATGGATATTTTACACTGCTTAAGCTTTTGTGATATGTTCTGGTTAGGGACAAAAATGTAGTTGAATGCATTATCATTCTTGCTGTTAAACAAAAAAAATCTAAACATTAAAAATGCAACATACTAAAACTTGTAGTTTGCTTTCTTTTGATCAATTGTGGTTTGTCTTGTAAATCATAATTAAACTTAGTAAAGTATGTGAAACCATACATTGTTTTAACTGCAGCCTAGTGATGTTTAGCAGATAGAGAAGCACTCCTTACTTTGATTGTTTTCAGAATGGGGCATGAGAAAAGCATAAGGTCACTAGTCCCACTACCCCTGTTCCTCCTGAAATGCTTAGCAAGGAGAGAACTATAGAGAATTTCAGCTGCTTAATGTCCCACTGGTCCTTTCTGAACCCCAAATTTTCATAATGCCACATGATAATGCCACATGAGCTGGAGATTGACAAAAGGGTACCAGGGGATCCTGTCACAGAGACTGAAAGTGGATCAACAAGCAAAGGAGGGGCCTAAAGGAGCATTAAACATTCCAAGGGAAGCAATTGAGGTAAATAAATAATATTAAAAGTTCTAAAGGGAATAACTAGGCTTAATAAATAAGTAACACCTCATGGGGCCTCAACTTTTTTTAAGAATTTAGGATTAAAATTGGATAGGTTTAGGTTTAGGTTTAGGTTTTATTAAATTTATACCCCGCCCTTCTCCTGGCGGACTCAGGGCGGCTTACAGCAAGTTAAAAAACAGACAAACCATACAAAATACTAAGTTTAAAATACAATTAAAATGAAATATTGATTTTTTGCCGTTTCTTTTTAAAATTATGTTAAAAACCAAATTAAAATCTAATTAAAATCAAATTAAAATATCCCTTAGGCCAGTCCCGCTAGCTGGAATAGCCATGTCTTGAGGGCGCGGCGGAAGGAGGGAAGATCCAGAATGACCCGGATCTCTGGGGGTAATTCGTTCCATAGGGAGGGGGCTCCAACAGAGAAGGCCCTCCCCCTGGGGGTCGCCAGCCGGCACTGTCTGACTGACGGCACCCTGAGGAGACCCTCTCTGTGGGAGTGTATTGGCCGATGAGAGGTAATCTGTGGCAGAAGGCGGTCTCGGAGATAACCAGGTCCGATGCCATGGCGCGCTTTAAAGATGATAATCAACACCTTGAAGCGCACCCGAAAAGCCACCGGTAGCCAGTGCAGTTCGCGCAGCAGCGGCGTTACATGGGAGCGACGAGTCACTCCCATCACCGCTCGCGCGGCTGCATT